GGGAAGGGATGGTAGGGGGAAAACAATGGAGGGGGTAACAATGCTCAATAGGAAGTGTACTCATTACCTCGCTCATGTAACTGTAACCCTCTGTATAGTATCTTTACAATAAAAAAATATTTTAAAAAAAAGCCCTGCAAAGAAGGGAGAGAAGGTACCCAAAGGGAAGAAGGGGAAAGCTGATGCTGGCAAGGATGGGAATAACCCTGCAGAAAATGGAGATGCAAAACAGTCCAGACACAGAAAGCTGAAGTTGCTGTAGATGCCAAGTGAAGTGTGTGCATGTTTGGTAGCTGTGTACTTCTGGTGACTGTACAGTTTGACATATTATTTTTTGTCAAGTTTTATAAACATGCAGAATTTTGTTTTACTTTTTTTTTAAAGTTATGTTGTTAGCACACAGAATGCTTGTTTTGGGGAAAGGAGCATCTGTCACTAATAGAATGTCTCCAAAGCTGGATAAATACAGGGAAAACACCTTTCCCTGATAGTGTTGAGAGGCTTCTTGTTGGCTCCTAGGAGGAGGAATTCCCTCATGCTGACACACAGCCATCTTGGCACAACACCTTGTGATGTGGGAAAACTCAAAATAACTTTTGTCCTCCTCCTCCATCATCAGCATAGACTTAACTCCCTTAAAACCAGAGGCCAGAGGGACCTTGACTCTCCCTGCCCCCCAGTTGGTTTTTGCGATGTCCCAGGCAATCTGGACTTGACAGTGGCATCATTGAGATGGTGTTCCTTAAAAGAGCAGTGGTTTCCTTTTCTAAATCATGAATTTTCAGATTGATAATTCTGCCATTTTTCATTTCCTGAAAGTCAGGGTCGGCTTGTGAAAAGTTGTTAAACAACATATTTAATGTGAAATGTCAACCCTCTCTAAATTTTCCCTATTCAGAGCTTCAAATAAAGACATTATTGGATTTTAAAATGGCTTTCTGATTTGGATAGTCCATCCAAGAAGGGAGTTTGAAAGTTGTTGTATACCATTTTTTTTAAGGCAGGACATGTCCTGCCTAAAACACCATGATTGTTTATGTAAAGTATCTTTAATAAAGTTGGATACAGTTTGGGTTGGGGGTAAAAATAATTTACTAAGGAAGTGGAGCTGTAGCTCAAGTGGTAGAGTGCTAGCCTAAAGTGGAGTGAGTTCAAGCCCCCAGTGCCAGCACAAAAGAAAAAGAAAAAACCTGGTGCCTGTGGCTCACGCCTGTAATCCTAGCTACTCAGGAGGCTGAGATGTGAGGATTGCGGTTCAAAGCCAGCCCAGGCAGGAAAGTCCCTGAGACTCCTATCTCCAATAAAGCACCAGAAAACAGGAAGTGGTGCTGTGGCTCAAGTGTAGAGCACTCGTCTTGAGCTGACAAGCTGAGGGACGGTGCCCAGAGTTCAAGCCCCATGACTCACCAAAAAATTTTTTTACTAAGACAGGATAGAGAGAAATCTCTGTTTCTCATACTTACTTATTAGGAGACTAGTCTAGAGTCTCATCTGGATGCTAGCCACCCAAAAGGGCTGTCTGCACAGCAGTGTGAAGACAGGGTCAGCAGGAGGTTTTGTCTTTGGCTATGTTACTTTTTATTGGCTATTCCCGTGTTGTGGAATCTCCTGCTCTTAGCCGTCTCATTCCAAACAAAAACTGACACCAGCTAGGCGCCGGTGGTTTATGCCTATAATCCTAGGTACTTAGAAGGCTGAGCAGTAAGGATGGAGAGTTAAAACCCAGCCCAGGGGCTGGGAGGGTGGCTCAGTGGTAGAGCACTTGCCTTGCATGCCTGAGGCCCTGGGTTCAATTCCTTAGCACCAAATAAGCAGAAAAAAAAAAGCCAGAAGTGACGCTATGGCTCAAGTGGTAGAGTGCTAGCCTTGAGCTGAAGAGCTGAGGGACAGCGCCCAGGCCCAGAGATCAGGCCCATTACCGGACCCCCCCCCAAAAAAAAAAAAAAAGCCAGCCCAGACAGACAAATCAGACTTTTAGCTCCAGTGAACAAGTTTTTTTTTTGTTGGTTGCATGGCTTGAACTCAGGGCCTGGAGGCTAACCTTAAACTCTTTTGCCACAGCTTCACTTCTAGATTTCTAGTGGCTAATTGGATGTCTTACTTTCTTGCCCAGGCTGGCTTTGAACTGTGATCCTCAGATCTGTTGGTTTGGTTTAACTAGGACTTGTATTCAGAAAAAAAAAGGGGGTGGGGGATGCCAAACACATAGGCAGTTAGTATTTACTGAACAAGTACAGATTCCAGCCCCAATTCTTTCATTACCTCTCAGGAAGAAGGCCATATAGGAAATCATTTGGCATGGCTGGACAGCGTGTTTCTCCATGGCTGCTCAAGGACAACTCCCTGCAGTGTTTTTTTGTTTTGTTTTGTTTTGTTTTTTCAGTCCCTCAGCTCTTCAGCTCAAGGCTAATGCTCTCCCACTTGAGCCAAAGCGCCACTTCTGGCCTTTTCTGTTTATGTGGTGCTGAGCAATCGAACCCAGGGCCTCAGGCATTCTAGGCCAGAACCCTACTACTGAGCCACCTTCCCAGCCCCAGCCTGCAGTTTTCTATGACCTGCAAATGGCCCTGGGCATAAAATGGATATATTCATAGCTACCAAAAGAATTTTCTCAGGGGCTGGGAAGGTGGCTCTGTGGTAGAGTGCTTACCTCACATTCATGAGACCCTGGGTTCCATTCCTCAGCACCACATAAGCAGAAAAAAGCCAAAGTGGCACTGTGGCTCAAGTGGTAGGTAGCTAAACTAGCCTTGAGCTGAAGGGCAGCGCTCAGGCCCTACGACCCACAAAAAAAAATTTTCTCAGCCTGTAATCCTTGCTACTCAGGAAGTTGAGATTTGAGGGTAGAGGTTCAAAGCCAGCCTGGGCAGAAAGGTTGGTGACATTTTTACTGCCAACAAACTACTCAGAAAAGCTGCAATTGGTGCTGATGCTCAAGTGGTAGATTAGCCTTGAGCAAAAAACAGGATCAGGGACAGCACCCAGGCTCTTAGTTCAAGTCCAGGACCCACCCACCCACAAACATCTGGGGGTAAAGGATCACAGTAAAAAATACACTAAAAATGTCCAAACTTATCTTCAGACTTGCCAAACAGAAAAAGAAGGTATATACCTCTCAATTTCAAAGAGCCAGACCTCAGAAGGAAGATAAGGAAAACCTATGGATTCTAGTTTTTCTGAGTTCTCAGAAGCATAGTGAAATCAGAACAGAAATACAGTTGGGATCAAGATTGACAAACACTTGAAAAAAAATGTGTTTCATTCTTTTTTGGCATTTCATGTGTTTATCCATCCCTATATTTACATATATGTACATAACTTTTTTTTGGGGGGGGGTCCGTCCTGGGGCCTGAACACTGTCCCTCAGCTCTTCAGCTCAGGGCTAGCGCTCTACCACTTGAGCCACAGCGCCACTCCGGCTTTTTTTCTTTTTGCTTATGTGGTGCTGAGGAATCAAACTCAGGGGCCTCAGGCATCCAAGGCAAGCACTCTACCACTGAGCCACCTTCCCAGCCCGTACATAACTACTTTTGTAATATTTTGAAATATTTTTGGTCACTATGTAATATTTTCTTCACTTAAGTTTCTACATAATATTCTTGAACCATACAGCTCTTACCCTTTTAGTTGAATAAAATATATTAATACCTAAAAGAAAAATGTCCAAACTAAAACAGGACACAGGAAAGCCACAGGCCTGGCACAATCAAGCCTAACACTCTGCATCTGAAATGTTCCTAAATGAGTGGAGTGGTCCTTACTGGGTGAAGATGAAATCCCACATCTCCTTTTGCCTAGGATGACTGTCTCAATGAATTCATAGTTAAGCTGCAGTTGTTTCAGTACAAGATTTATGGTATATGTTAACCCCCTAATTTCGGATCAACTCTTTTCTTTTTAGCAACATGAAGTTAAAGGGACTTATATGCTGCGTTGAACCATAAGCCTCCAAAGGCATATTTCCTGCTTAAGTCTCCCATCAGGAATTATGAAAAATGTCTTAACTCCCAGCCCTAGGTTCTGTCTTTTTCTTTCTGGTACCAGGGATTCAACTCAAACTCATACATACACATCTCCAAGCTCCTTCCTTTTAATGCATTTTCAGGATGCCAACTTACTCGGATAGGTTGAAGCTCCCCAACATTCAGATACTCTTCCCTTTTCACATAGGCATATAAGGATCACTAAAGATCTAACATGTTAAAATAATTAAGTTCTGGGAGGGCTAGGGGGGAGTCTAACTGGTTAGATTTTCCTTTGAACACTTGGCATAAAACACACTCCTATCTTGCACAAATGCAGTCAACACAAGATATAAAGTATAATTTCCATTTTATTTGTTTTTGTTTTCCCTAGAAGACAGCTTTTCTGAAGTCTGGAACTATCCAGCTCCTTACATTGGTTTTGGTGGAGGTCGTGGAGCAGCACCCTAAAAGAGAAAAAAAAGAAAAACAAACAAAACACAGCTGTAAGATGAGCATGTAGTTTGGCAGAGCACTTGCATAGCATGTATGAGGCCCTAGATTTAATCCCCATAACTAGCAAAAGATGAGTCAAAACCCCTCCCGCCACCACAAACACACTATAAATGCTGGCTGAAGTGGAAGGACAACAAAATATCATATTTGAAAAAAGGTTCTAATTTGAGAAGTCTCTAATCAATTAATTGTTTATGTATGGGTCCCTTTGCCTTTCTAGAACAAGATGGTAACTTGATTATTTTTCTGGAAGTCAAGTTTCTTCCACCCCTCTGTATTTTCAACCACTTTTACAAATACTCACAGCAGGTCTAAATCGGGGTGGGGGTGTTCGGTCTTTCCGGGCTTCACGAGATCGATTCCTGACGACTTTGCTGTGAATGGCACAACTCACGCAGTAATGGAGCTTTACATAGAGCTTGGGAAGCACATAAGCTGACAAAACATTTTAAATAGCTGTTATATTAACTGTCCTGCATCAATTCTCATTCATTCTGTCAAAGCTAAGTCTGTATTTCTGGTATCTATCTGTAACTGCCAGTGTCACAAATATCACCATTTTTAAGTTCACGTCCTACATTCATTGAAGCTAGCTCCACCAGTGCACACTGCCATGGACAGGGCTGTATTATGAAGCCAACATATAAGAGCTCAGCTGAAGAGAAAAAAAGAACTGGGAATGTGGCTAGACCTGAAGCCCTGAAACTCAACCTCTACTACATCAAAAAAGAGATCAGTTCCTCCAAAAGGTCTTTTTCTCTTTTCTCTGTGCAACCCCCTTCAGTGCCAGTAGCCCACAGATCGAGGCCAGGCAATGGTTCGGGACCACAGTTTGCTCTGGCATGGGACACTATGAAAGACCCAGGGGGACGGGCCTGCCATAAATCCAACCCATGCATCCTCCAACAGTTTTGACAAGATACAGAACCACCCACTCCCCCAAGAACTTTCTTGTGGCTTCAATAACTTAAAAGCCATTCTTTCTTTTGTGGCACTCGGAATTGAATTCAGATCTCCTGCCGTCCTTCTTGAAACAGTCAGGAGACTCTTCACAACTTAAGCTAGGCAGATACCGTTTCTGGAATCATGTCCTACACAAGTTTGGTCTGGACTTAAGCCTGGAGTGGCAGCTGCACAAGTCAAAACGAAACATACACACAAAAAAACAACCCTGCCCAACGCTCAACATTACCTAAGGACAACAAATCCACCCTTCTCCTTCCCCAAGCACTTAGGAATTGTCCCAACTACTCCCACGGTGCCTATTGGAGAGGGGTAAGTGGAAAGGGCTGTGAGCACTAGGACCCTGACACCCCAAGATTCTCTCACCGTCGAAGACACTCGCTTCGGAAATGTCCCTGACGGCGGCGGCCTCCACTATGTTCCGGATGACAAACTTCTTAATGGCCTTGTCCTTGGGCACGCACCGGGCGCAGTTGGTGCAGCGGATAGGCTGCACGTGGCCGCGGCCCTTTTTGGCCCGGCCATTGTTCCTCCTCTTCTTCGTCTGCGGTGAAATAAGGATTGCATCTGCATTGTCCCGCCCGAGCCTGCTTCCGCTGCGTCCCCGCCGGCGGCGCCACGGCGCCTCCAAACCCCGAGGCCCTCCTAGCCCAGGGCCACACACACACCGGCCCCCACCTTCCCCCGTGCCCCGGCTCTCACATCCCCACAACCCCACAACCCGCGGCGTCTAGGTTCCACGCGCACCCCACGCTCCCGACACACGCGTGCTCACCATCTTGAAAGCGAGGGCCAGAGAGAGAACCCGCCTCCCGGCCGGGACTCTTATATACACGAGATCCCTACGCCACCACCGGAAGAACTCTTGGAAGAGGTATCACTCCAGTAAGACGTAGTAAACCACTGTACTCAACACTCCCTCAGTCTATTTAGAGTTTCCGCTAAAATGCTGAGTGGAAATAAGTTCCTAAAGTTGATTCATCTGTGGGGGGGGAGCGTGAAGCAAAAATACCGGTGGGACTATTTAGCCTGCTAGCGGAGGAAGACTATGTCTAGGAGCTCCACAAACGTGACGCACTAACCCGGAAGTAATTTTATGCGTATAGTTTCCGGCTTAAAAGTCACCGATTGCGAAGAGTACACGGTGCGGTTAGTCCTCAGTATAGGGGGAGAGCTGCATGCTGGGAGTTGTAGTATGAAGCCAAGAGGCCGCAGGCCCGGGAGCAAAGACCAAAGGGGGCGCCACACCACGGTGAGACGCCCTCGCTTCACTTCGATTAGAGTAAACGTCGGAAAGGCTGCGTGGAAACAAACATCTTGTGTAGCTGATCACTTACACATGTAATCCTAGCTAGTAAGGAGGCTGAGATCTGACCATCGCGATTCGAAGCCAGCCCTCCCCTCCTTGAGACTCTTCTCTCTAATTAACCAGCAAAAGGGCAGAAGTGGGGCTGTGGCTCAAGTGGTACAGCTCCAGGTACAGCTGAAGCAGCTTAGCAAGACCACAAAGCCCTGAGTTAAACCCCAGTACCCGTGGTATAAAGCTCCCTACAGAGGGGATGTTAGCAAGTGGGATTGATTCTTAGCCTATATCCTGTGTGGTAGCATTTTGTTTGTACTCAATTATTTTCTCCCTCCCACCCTCCCTCTCTCCCTCACTCCATCCCCTCTATTCCTCTCTTCCTTTTCCTGAACTTTTCTGTTTCAGGCTAGCATTTTACCACTTTGAGCCACAGCTCCGCTTCTGGTTTTCAGGTGGATAATTGGAGATAAGAGTCTCCTTGACGCCTATAATCCTAGCTACTCTGGAGGCTGAGATCTGAGGATCATGGTTCAAAGCCAGCCCGAGCAGGAAAGTCAGTATGACTCTTACCTCCAATAAACCACTCAGAAAACCGGAAGTGGCATTGTGGCTCAAATGGTAGAATGCTAGCCTTGAACTGAAGAGCTCAGGGACAGTGCCCAGGCCCAAAATTCAAGCCCCAGGACCACCAACAACAACAATGAAAAGAAAAAAAGAAAAAGAAAAAAGGAAAGAAAGAAGCTCTTGCCTGGCATGGGTGTCTGTAATCCCAGCTATTCAGGAGGTTGAGATTTGAGGAATGTAGTTCAAAGCCAGCCTGGGCAAGAAAGTCCATGAGACTCTTTATCTTCAATTAACCACCAGAAAACTGAAAGTGGCACTGTGGCTCAAGTGGCTGAGTGCTTGCCTTGAGCTGAGGAGCTGAGGGACAGTGCCCAAAGAAAGAGAGAGAGAGGAAGGAAAGAAAGAAAGGAAGAAAGAAAGGAAGGAAGGAAGGAGTCTCCTGGACTTTCTTGCTGGGCTGGCTTTGAACCGTGATCCTCAGATCTCAGCTTCCTGAGTAGCTAGGATTATAGGTGTGAGTCACCAGGTCCTGATTGGATGGTCTCTTTTTACTTCGAATTTGTTCCTTTCCATTGCAGTCTTGAGCCTCCTCAATACCCATGCCTTTCCTGATGTCTTTGCAGAGTTCAAATGGAATTTGTACATAAGAAAATGTGTGCTAGTGTTTTTTGTGGATTTTTTTATTTATTTTTGCCAGTCCCAGGGCTTGAACTCAGGAACTGGGCACTGTCCCTGAACTACTTCTTTTCTTTTCTCTTTTTTTTTTTTTGTCGGTCGTGGGGGTTGAACTCTGGGGCCTAGGCATTGTCTCTCAGCTCTTCAGCTCAAGGCGAGCACTCTATCTTGAGCCACAGTGCCACTTGAGGTTTTCTAGTGGTTTATTGGAGATCAGAGTCTCATGGACTTTTCTGCCCAGGCTGACTTTGAACTGTGATCCTCAGATCTCAGCCTCCTGAGTAGCTAGGATTATAGGCGTGAGCCACTGGTGCCCGACATCCCTGAACTTCTTTTGCTCAAGGATAGTGCTCTACCACTTGCACCACAGCACCACTTTCGGCTTTTTCTGTTTCTGTGGTACTGCTAATCGAGTCCAGGGCTTCATGCATGCTAGGTAAGCACTGTATCACTAAGCAATATTCCCAGCCTTTTCTGTTGATTTGTAGTGCTAGGTATCAAGCCAAGGACCACCTTGAACTCAGGGCCACTGACATACTTGTTTTACCACTGAGCTGTAGTCCCAACCAGAAAGTAAATTAGTTTTAGAGGAGAATGTTTCCAATTTTCACTTCATTTCAGTCCATGGAAAACAGAAGGCAGACATTATGATAGGGAACAGCAATAAGGTAGAGGGAGAAAACAGCAAACAAGTTCATAGTGAAAGGGGCAGAAAATAGGTAATATTTAAGACAAAAATTAAAGTCCCACTTTGGTGTTTCTTTGCATTTTTATAGCTTAGGGTCTTCGGTGTCTGCTTTTCATATCATAAAGAAATGGCAGGGGCTTGGAAGGTTGCACAGTGGTAGAGTGCTTGCCTTGCATGCCTGAGGCCCTGGGTTCAATTCCTCAGCACCACATAAGCAAAAAGAAAAAAGCCGG